TAAGCACTCCTCTATCCGCGATTGTACCTGAGGTAGTCATGGAATCTGAACTGGGTTTAGACTGCTTTGATCCAGTTGAACTCTCTGAATTAGCAAAATTATTGTCTTCATCTAAGCCTTCAACTTGTATGTTAGATCCAGTTCCAACCAGGTTATTTAAGGAGGTATTCCCTTTGATCTCCTCCTCCATTTTAGATGTGATTAATCTATCTCTGTTACAGGGATATGTACCTAAAGCTTTTAAGGTTGCTGTAATTAAACCTCTGCTTAAGAAACCGTCTCTTGACCCAGATGACTTGGTCAATTATAGACCTATATCCAATCTTCCTTTCTTATCCAAAATTCTTGAGAAAGTAGTTGCCAAACAAGTTTGCGATCACTTCCACCATAATGAACTTTTTGAAGAGTTTCAGTCTGGCTTTAGAGCTCATCATAGCACTGAAACAGCTCTGGTGAAAGTCACTAATGATATTCTCATGGCCTCAGATAATGGACTTGTATCTGTGCTCGTCCTGTTGGATCTTAGTGCTGCATTTGATACAGTTGACCATAATATTCTTTTAGAAAGACTTGAATATTTTGTTGGAATTAAAGGAACAGCACTAGACTGGTTTAAATCTTATCTATCTGATCGAATTCAGTTTGTTCATGTTAATGATAGATCTTCAACACGCTCAAAGGTTACCTGTGGAGTACCACAGGGATCAGTGCTAGGACCAATTCTCTTTACTTTATACATGCTCCCAATTGGTAGAATTATTAGACAGCATGGGATTAATTTCCACTGTTATGCTGATGATACCCAGCTATATCTGTCTATAAATCCAGATGAAGCTAACCCATTACATAGATTACAGGCATGTCTTGAAGACATAAAAACCTGGATGACTCTTAACTTTCTGCTTCTGAATGCAGACAAAACAGAAGTTATAGTCTTTGGACCAGAGTCTCTGAAAAAGAAACTGATTAGCCAGTCACTTCATTTGGATGGGATTAAACTGATTTCAGATAATAAAGTAAAAAATCTTGGTGTTATTTTTGATCAGGACCTGTCATTTAAATCCCACATCAAAGAGGTTTCTAGAATTTCCTTCTTTCATCTGAGGAACATTGCAAAAATTAGAAATATCCTGTCCAGGGGTGATGCTGAGAAACTAGTCCATGCATTTGTTACTTCAAGGCTGGACTATTGTAATTCTTTACTATCAGGAAGTCCACAAACTGTAGTTAAAAGCCTTCAGCTGATCCAAAATGCTGCAGCCAGAGTTCTAATGAAAATTAAAAAGAGAGATCATATCTCGCCTGTCCTGGCTTCTCTTCATTGGCTTCCTGTTAAATCAAGAATAGAATTTAAAATCCTCCTTCTCACATATAAAGCCTTAAATGGCCAAGCTCCATCTTATATCAGAGATCTGATTGTTCCTTATGTTCCTAACAGAGCACTTCGCTCTCAATCTGCAGGTTTACTAGTGGTTCCTAGAATTTCTAAAAGTAGAATGGGAGGCAGATCTTTTAGTTATCAGGCTCCTCTCCTGTGGAACCAACTACCAGTTTTAGTCCGTGAGGCAGACACCCTGTCTACTTTTAAGGCTAGGCTTAAAACTTTCCTTTTTGATAAAGCTTATAGTTAGAGTGGCTCAGGTTATCCTGAGCTATCTCTATAGTTATGCTGCTATAGGCTTAGACTTTTGGAGGACATAGGGACCCCCATTTCATCATTCTGCTTCATTCTCTCTCTGTTCTCCTATTCTGCAGAATCTGTTAGTTCAATCTCTAACCTTCTGCTCTCTCTGCTTTTCCTCAGAGTAGCTTTGCCTCGTCTGTTCCTGTTTGGCTGTGACGTCATCCTGGAAAGAAACATCAGCTGTGCTGCTTCTATCAACACCCTTGTTTATAGATGTTGGAGATCGGCCTGTTTTCCAGTGTGGTCCTGTTTCTCTGACCGTGACTGAGTGGATGTGCTTTCTTCGTCCTCTGGCATGGGAGCTGCCTTGGAGCTCGTCTGCCTGGCTGTGTGTTTCCTGGACGGGGCCGCCTTTTACAGCTGCTTTTTGTATCTCTGCTTCTGTCTCCTTGAACCCCAGTCGGCCTCGGCAGATGGCCGCTCACACTGAGCCTGGTTCTGCTGGAGGTTTCTTCCTGTTAAAAGGGAGTTTTTCCTCTCCACTGTCGCTACAAGCATGCTTAGTGTGGGGGATTGTATTTGAGTCAATGAGTCAATGCAATCAACTGGTTTTCCTTAGATAGAAAACTTTGTATCAATTTGATCTGGTTGAACTGTAAAGTGCCTTGAGATGACATGTGTTGTGAATTTGGCGCTATATAAATAAACTGAATTGAATTGAATTGAATTGAAATTGAATTGAATTAAATATTAGGGCTGAAACAGTTAATCGGATTAATCGATAATTGAAATAATCATCAACTGATATAGTAATCAATTAATAGTTAACTGGAGCATAGAGACTCTAAAACATCCCTTTAGCTGACAGAGACACACTTAGAGCAGCAATTACACAGAGGTTGTAAAAAAAAAATATATAGAAATTTAGCATTTTAGATTTTAAATAAAATTCATCTGTCAGTATATTCTATTCAGTATGACAGAGCAATAAGGCTGCTGGAGGTTTTTTATTCTTCTATTTCAAGAATGAAGTCGTAAAATTACGAGAATAAAGTTGTAACATAACAAGAATAAAGTCGTAACATTACAAGAATAAAGTAACATTACGAGAATAAAGTCGTAAAAACTGGAGAATAAAGTCGTAACATTACAAGAATAAAGTTGTAACGTAACAAGAATAAAGTTGTAAAATAACGTGAATAAATTCGTAACAGTACAAGAATAAAGTTGTAACGTAACAAGAATAAAGTTGTAAAATAACGTAAATAAAGTCGTAACATTACAAGAATAAAGTTGTGAAAACTGGAGAATAAAGTCGTAACATTACGAGAATAAAGTTGTAACGTAACAAGTATAAAGTTGTAAAATTACGTGAATAAAGTCGTAACATTACAAGAATAAAGTTGTGAAAACTGGAGAATACAGTCGTAACATTAAGAGAATAAAGTTGTAATGTAACAAGAATAAAGTTGTAAAATTACGAGAATAAAGTTGTAACATTACAAGAATAAAGTTTTAAAATCACGAGAATAAGTCGTAAGATTATGAGAATAAAGTCGTAACTAAATTTTAGGACTTTATTCTATTAATATTAAGACTTTAGTCTTGTAATGTTATGACTTTTCTTGTTGTGACTTTTTTTCCGTAATTTTACTACTTTATTCTCGAAATAGAAGAAAAAAATAAATTTCTAGCCTGGCCCTAATACTCCATCGTAATCCAGAACTATTTAATTGGAAAAGTTTTATTTTTAGCTGGTTTAACTTCGTAAAAAGTCTTCTTTAAAGAACTTTTGTCTATCCAATTTTTAATCAATAAATTGGAAAAATTATCAACAGATTAATCAATTTCGAATATAATCGTTAGTTGCAGCCCTACTAAATATGGTAAATATCAACAAGGCATACAATATTGCCTGTAAGAGTTTTACATTACAGACTAGTTTCTTTTTTAATACTGACATAACTAAGAAAGTTCAGCTCTGCAGACATGTTGACTTTAGAAGCTGAATAATTGCTGTTAAATATGGAGCATTAATTCAAATTTTTCCCACTAAGGCTACTATTTGTCTTTAAGTCAGTTCTTAACACAAGTAGTGCATGTTTCTGGTCCTAGCTGCTCACTAACTACCAGATAGCACATATGGGGACAAGGGACACACTTCCAGCGTAGCTTAAACCAGTTTAAACCCGGGAACAATTGGCTTTTAATGGCAGGGACCTGTTTAAATTGCCTCGGCTCTGATCGGCATTCTGTGGGAACACAAGCGCTGGGTCGACCCACTAAATTACATGATACCATTGAACTCATCATACGGACGTCAACACACCATGCCACTCAATGCTGATCTAAAAAGCTGAAACAACGCAGTTTACATTCAATAAACATGGAGCAGCTATGGTGAGAGGGATTTACACAGCGCGAAACATTAAAGCAAAATGACCCTGGCTTTCTTACATGTTGCTCTCCATTGTTTACTTTCCTGATATGTCGCACTAGCGACTGCTAATTTAAATGGGAAAGAGGCTTTGGATTTCCGTACTGATTTTATGTATTCTGATTGAGCCATGATGGTTTTAAGCTTGAATATACTCACTGGAGCAGCTCTTGTGATGCCACTTGGGCGTCAGATTTACGAGTGTACAAAGAACAGGGAGTACAAAGGTTCCCGCTTGGGATTTAAGTGTTTAAATTTTAAGTTTTGAAATATTTCTAAATAATAAATCAAATTAATGTGTTCTGATCCTAGTCTATTATGCCATATTATTCTATTAAGATTCTGATGACCATCTTTCAGAAGCATCATCTTATCTGCTGTTGTCCCACAAATGCGATCTTTGTGACATACTTTCCTAAAGCCATGGAGCATTTGTGTTTCCTGCTAGTTTCCTCTTGTTACACAAGCACACTTCTACCGTTTATGAATCCAGTGAGCTATGGTTTCAACAGCGAATCTGACAGAGTGTAATGTACATATCTTCTTTCACTAAGTTAGTGCCCTCAAAAATGCTCACAGACCGGATGCAATGTAGAAGAGCAGATAGGACAGTTTATTGCATGTGTTTGGAGGTTTAACCCATCCATCAACTTTTTAGCCTGAACAGTTTTCTACCAACGTTCTTCAAAATGAATATAACGTACAGAAGTTGGGATTGAAACATGTGTAGAAACCATAAAACACAAACTACCACAGCTTGATGCGTCTAGAAATGATTGAAAACAGAAAGAATGCAGCATGAGGTCACCATACTTCATTCACGAAAGGGTTAAATGTTCATTCTTCTTCCAGCAGGAATATAGATGGGTGAGAATCTGCGGCCGGATGCAGAACAGAAAGACAGAGACGTTTATGTGGAGGCGTCGAATAAAAAATAAAAAACAAAAAGGCACAGCCTGGGGCTTTTACACTTCGTTTATAATCTTCCCCAATTTCCTGCAAGTCCATAAATTGTTATTATCGCAGAGCGCTTGGGCGGGCAGACAAATCGAGGTGGAGAGGACTGAATGTGGCTAATCGGATCAAAAGTAAGTGATGGTGCTATTCTGTTTGAAAAACACAATTTGTAAGAGTCGGGCCTGCTTGTCCTCTCCCTGCTTTTATGTATTCATGGTGAGGCAGCGGAGGAAAGGAAGACGCTGATGTTTATCCCCCTCCCTCTTCCCTTAGTTAGTCTGGAGAAAGGTCATGGAGAAGTGTTTCCCTCGGAGCGTCGTGGAGCAATAAACTACTGGTAAACACAAAGCAAGACGGATTCAGGCTGCTCTACGTTTCTGCAGCCATTGGTGATTTATACTTATCCTTTTTTTTTTTCTCAGGCCGCCATGCTGCTTGCCGTTAAGCTTTGAAATTAGACGTTCCGTCACAAGCAGCAGCTCTCACCTGAGTATTGGATTACCGAAACAAAAGATGAATAATTAATAGAGAGAAATAGGTTCCTGGCAACAGGAATGTAATAATGAGCATTATGTTTCAGCCTCCTCCTCTCATGTCGGTTTCGTCTTCTGCTGCTGAATCCTCTTTTTCACGGAGCCATGTTGCAAATTTATTTTGGCACATCGCAAACTCCTTCTGATTTAAATAACACAGACGTTCCTCCTTTCTGAGGCGATACGACAAACGTACGGCCTTCCACTAGATGCAAGAGCAGCTTAGATTGGATGGAAGTGTCCCAGCATCACCTGGAACTACTCAGCTGGACTTTGACTAGGCCATCAGAACACCTGAATATACTCTGAATGAATCCACACCACTGATCTCCACAATCATCCTCTTTTCAGCTTCAACCTTCTTCTGAATAACTTCCCTGTTGCTCAGCATTATGCTGCCACCGCCATGCCTTACTGTGGGGGTCAAAGAGTTCAGCTTTGTTTCCTTTTTCCAAATATTAGCTGTTTTTTTACACCTTGGTCCTCTTTTTCCATGAATAAAAAGTCTCTAAAATGATATTTTTTAACCAAAAAGATTCTTGATTTAGATTATTTGAAAATAATACATATAATTTGACCAATTTTTCAGCTTTTTAGCCCAGAAATACACATGCCCCAGACAGGTAACCCCCTAAAATTACAATGTTTTACTCTAGACAGTAAATTTTGCAGTGTTAAAGTAACACTTTAAGAGTGCATTTGGTCCCACTCTGAATTAGTGTTAAAGTAGAACTCTACATAGTGTATATTCTACTCCAGTTGTTGTTGTAATAACTCTAAAAGAGTTAATATAATTTGACACTTCATATTTAACATTGTGGGTCATTCCAAGAAAACTGTTAAGTTTGGATCCATAACATTCAAAGAGGAATAGGAAGCATAATAAAACTGTCAGTAATACTTCAAGTTTAGTTGGTAGCATGAGGTCAAATAAAATTGAATAATAAATATATATTTTGCACATTTATAACTTTTTATGTTAAACTGCAATCATTTTCTCATGTCTGCTCTGACCATTTTTCTCATTCGTTTAATGTAAAACTTAAGAAATATGAAATAAATCTCAAAAAATGTTTTGTTGTTATGGTTAGAAATACTTTCCTCTTAATAGGAAATGTGTTAATTATATAAAAATGTCATAGTTTTTTATTGAAATAGCATGATTTTGTCTATCCCCATGTTATTTTGCGCCAAAATGCAATACACTTCCTAGAAGTGACATCACTAACAGGAAGTTACATCATTCAAGAGTTTGAAGAAGAGAAGTCCAAACAATGGTGAGTTCTGTTTTTCTTTAAGAACATTTTTGGTACATTTTTCCTTCAAAATCCTTTCTGTTAACCATAGCATATCCACTCCATAACATTTTGTTTGTCTTACTTTTATCTTTTATCTACCCTTTAATTTGTTAACCTTTGTCCTGTGACGGGGTGGAAAAGGGAACTCTGTTCCCTGGATATAATGTGCTAAAATATTCGCAGAAAATGGTGTCTGAGCTTGAAAAATATGTTTTATTGCAAGTGTTACATGTTCTACAGGCTATGAAACTAAAAAAAGAAAAGGTTATGATCAAAAACCTCTAAATTCAGGTCCAATCTTTACACTTTCCATGGAATGACCCGTGTATAGTTATAAACAGGTATAATGAAATGATTAAAATAAATCCATTCATCTTTAAAATGACTTTTTATTCCTTAAATACAAAAGTAATTTTATTATTAAATGGGACATTTAACTGATTTAAAATTAATGATGATACTAATATAATATTGGTGAATATCACTTTAACCCGCCACATAATGTTTTTTTCCCACCTACCAGGAAACCCCTTTATTATAATGTTAATATATCAATGTTTTTTAAAAGCCATTTTAGATTAAATCATAATTTTTTTCTAGTGTTAAAATTGTGGCGTTATGCTGTAATACTTCTGAACAGCAGGGGGCAATGTTTTGGCAACAGGAGCAATTAAAATATAAATGATAAAGTTTTGATTTATTGTGAAGCTTTAAACCCATTAGGAACGAATCCAAACATATTTAAATGGCTTTGGAGATAATAGTAGGAAGTCTGGGGATATCTGGAAACATTTTACACAAAAAACTAAATACAATCGACTGGCCTAAGAGTGTTGGCCCAGTGGGTTGAAGCGGTGCGCTTGTGAGGGTTGCAGGTGCCCGGTTCGAATCCCTCTGCCTCCACCCCGGGGTCCTGAGCAAGACCCTTGACCCCCGATTGCTCCTCAAGGTTAATGCCAAGGTAAATTTCTCCAATCTGAGATCAATAAATTTTAATTAAAAAAACAGAAAAGCAAGTAAAGATGAAGGATTGATCAATTTCTATAAATTCATGACTTTATGGAAGAAACAACTAAAGTTTAAATTAAAGTTTTTACCATCAGTGCCAAAACGCTATAATGGAAGATTCTGTGACATCACATCCTTTGTGTTTTAAGCCAAATGGTTTTAATTTTATTTAATTTAGGGGTAAAAGGCGGATTAGAGTTTTGCAACCGCACACATCAATTGTCGCTTGGGTCTGGTCATGAACCAGTTTTGCTGGTATGCTTCTGCACCATCAGTCTGGAATTTCTAGGGACACACGGCAGTTTCCTGCCAAACCCCAAGGGGGAGCCAAGAACTCGCGAGAACTCGCGAACTTCAGTCGATGGTCACGAGAAATTCATTTTGGTAGAGACCTTGGCACCTTTATTTAATTTCTTACAATTGGTTGTACTTCCGAACCGCCTTGATTAACCTTTTGGCATAGTTGTCCATTGTAGTTGTTCCTCGGTTTTTAAAAATGGCGCGTCCTGGCACCGAATCGAGAAGGGCGACCACACAGACAGGTGGAAAGGCATAGCAAGGACCAATCACAGCTGTTTCTGTCTGCGCACTTCGGCTTGAGGTCTGCGCGGGTTTGCAACCGTCCGACGCGTAGTCACGATTTTTTTTGAGACAGATTTAAAGGTTGGAGAGGCTATGCGTCAGAAGCATAAATTGGCCTTAAAGCTACAGTGTGTAATAATTACAGGGATATAAAGTCAGAAATGTAATATATTATACATAACTGTTATTTATCATCACCTATGAGCTCAGCCTTTTAACCATAATATTTGCGTTGCCTTAGAATTCGTTATTTATAATTACATAGGAGCGGGTCTCGCAGCCATGGAGGCTGACATATTTGCGCTACGGCAGCGCAGAGCCAACAAACTAGCGATTGCGAGATCGCCCATTACGCTCGAAAATAACTACGGCAAGTTGAGAGAGATGAACTGAGACGGTACTGAACAGTAGATGGCAGTATTATGCCTGAGAAGCGTTTAGTCTGCCTGAAACCAAAGAAGAAGAAGAAGCAGGTATACTGCGCCTCGGTAACAAGAAAGGTAAACAAGGCGGCAGGCGTGAGTGACTTTGCAAACTGTTTGGCACTGTGTGGCCAAACATCAGACGAATGGAGGATCATGCCTACTCTGTATCACAACGAAAAGCGGCGGACACCGAACCCCCGTCATCTAAGAAGCGGAAACACGACGAGAATAAACGCAAGCGTGACAAGAAACGACAAAAAACACGGATCAACATTGGCACGGCATTTACACGATGGAAGTCACTGATGGAGGAAAAAGGTTTTCAAAGTGACGCTCAAGTTGCCAGTTTTCTCTTGGACAGGTAATTAATCCTACACACACAATTGTCTAATATCACTGCAGTTTTTGGAGTACAGGATGCTCAGACCTGTCTAAAACAATAACATGCTGCGTGATGATGCTGTTACTCTCCAGTATACTTATTCAGCAACGTCCCTGACGTTTCACAGGTAATGATTCAGTCATTTTCTGTAAAATAATTTTCTGGATATATACCTCGGTTACTTTTCTGCGGCTCCTTTGGAGATCTTCAAGCCTTTCCTCCTCTGCTCTCACCCCGCTGGCACCTCTCCCTCGCCTGGCCCTAGCTGCACGCCCACCCCGGCCTCCCTGCCCTCGCCCTCTTCCTCTCCCTCTTCCTCGCCTTGTAACCCCCGTGCCACAAACATGACTTGGACTCTGTCAACGGGGAATATATATTCTTCCAGCGAACACAATCTCGCTGTTAAACTAATGACTACAATTACTTCGTCTGTTTATATCAGACATGCAAAGCAGCTCACCAAAACGTCACAACGATATAAAAAAAATAACGGGTATATTTATTATCTAAAGTCTACATGAAATCTATACCCTAAACAGACTAATAAAATACTATCTGTAAAATTATCTATGTAAACAAACCTCATCACTTGAGAAGGTAGGTGATGCGGACGTCGTGGAAGACATTTTGTCCCATAACGCTCGCCGTACTGTTGGGGGGGAGAAGCTGTGGGGGGGAGACGTTCATGTTGCTGCAGTCTGCAGTCTGACCGCTAGATGTCGCTGAAAATTACACACTATAGCTTTAAGAGTGCAAAGTGGAGCTCAGATATGTATGATTCCAGGCGTTTCTTTGTACATTTCACATAAAAAAAAAACCTTTAGGGTTTGTGACGAGACAAAATGAGAATAAGGTGTGAAGACTTTTGTAATCTTGTTCCTCCTCGGATGAGCAGAGACCCGCCTTCCTCCTCCTCCTCTTGTTTTTTCCTCTAATAAGCCCCCCGTTAAATAAATTAGAAAATACCCACCCAGGGGTGATCAGACGGCCACAAACCCCTGTCATCTGTCTCCTGGAGCTGCCAGGCAAAACAGAGGAGAAGGAGGAGAAGAAGGAGAAGGAGGAGAGCCAGGATTTCCTCTTCATCTTCCTCTCCCCGCTTCTCTCTGGCTTGGTATTATTCTGTCAGAGGTGAGACAGAAGAAGAACAGGCTCGTTTCGGCCTTGCCAGACAACCGAAGGCGATCTGCCATTTGTTCAGGAAAAAAAAAAGCAAGATATTCCATACATCCATCTTTATTTAATGAGAGAATACAAGAGGAGGAGAGGAAGGAAAGGAAGGAGACAGCGAGAGGAAAAAAAAAAAAACTTTGCTACATATGGAGCGCTTCT